GTAGCTTGTGCTCACAATGCATTTGAGCAAACGTTCGAACACGTTATCATCTAACATTTAAATGAAGGAATGATAGACGTGGAAAAAATGAGAGAAGTTGTGTTGTAGTAACCTGAGAAACACTGTCAGGTTTAGCAGCTCCAATCACATTATCAGCTACATGTTACTGGTATTAATCTGGTACTGACTGGTTGAAATGTGATGGTATTTGAATTTTAATGTATTCATATCAATTCTGATGTCAGAACAAAATGTGTCTCTGTGGGTTGTTAAAAATACATGTTAATATAATTTTGACCACATTCAAGACATGTTATAGACTTATTAAATCTCTGGGTAAAATGAATGAATGAATGAATTCATGAATATAAATCAGCTTGTAATCCTGAAGAACAGCAAATTGGTTTCAGTGTAATTGCAATTGGCTGGTTAATTGTGGTAACTGATGTTATCTCTAAAAATTTTCCATATCTCTAAAATTAGAAACTTTATGTCTCAGCGTGATTGTGAAAAAACTAGTTCATGCGTTTATTACATCTAGGCTGGACTATTGTAATCTATTATTATTGCTCTGTTGTAGAAACTCCCTGAAAATCCTTTGGTTGATCCAAAATGCTTCAGTGAGAGTATTGACAGGGACTAGAAAGAGAGAACGATATTCTCCTATAATGGACACTGCAATAAGACCAGGTTGGTGGGAGCTTCCAATGATGGAGAGTTTTTCTTCTTCACTCACTTTTTTCCACTCACTGTGTGTTTATACACCTCTCTGCATTCAATCATTAGTTATTCTCTTCTTCATCTTGTTTCCCTCCCGTCGACCCCAACTAGTTGTAGCAGATAGCTGCTCCTCCATGAGCCTGATTCTGCCGGAGGTTTCTTCCTGTTACGGAAGGACGTTTTTCCTTTCCACGCCAAGTGGTTGCTCAAAGAGAGTTACTTGATTGTTGGGGTTTTGTCTGTAGTATTGTAGGGTCTATGATCCCTCCATCATTTGTTGTCACATATGATCCTATTTATAACATCAATAGATCACTTATATGATGATCTTTTAACATTGTTTTTACTTTTATAAACATTTCTTATTTGAGGTGTGCTTTTCTGCAGATATACTGCAGAAATTTACTGTGTTCTGATAGTCTGGCGCCCTGATGCGGCTGTTGTTGTGATTTGGCACTATATCAATAAAACTTAATTAAACTTATTAAACTAGTAAGTGCACTGGGAAGTATTCTAAATTTACTAAATTAAGGGCACTTTAGTCTACTTTTTAATTCGTTATGGCAGCACTCTCCATAATTTACTGTGCTATTGAACTGATTAACTGATTTATAGATGAGTGCTTCACATCTGTACTTAATTTTATGCATTTTTCAAGTATTTTTTCAAGTGTGAACAGATCAAATGCTTTGTGTCAATTTGGGACACAATGGAAAGGGCACTGGTGATGAGACTAACCATCAGGGTGGCAGCGCCAAATCACAACAACAGTTGCCTCAAGGAGCTTTATATTGTAAGGTAGACCCTACAATATTACATACAGAGAAAAACCCAACAATCACATGGCCCCCTCTCTGTGTCCTACAGCATTTTCACAAAATGAGCTTTGGAAGCCAGACTTTCTTAAAAATAGAATAGATATTAGCCTAATAAATGTAACAACTTTGACTCAACCCTCAGTAAAAGTTTTGTAAGTGTACAGAATAATAATTTTAGCGTGTATCTGTCCTTACCTGTGCAGCTGAGTGTGTCTGTGGCTGTGCAGAGGAAACACCACAGACCGTCCTCGTCTGTGTCTGACTTTATTCAGCTGAAGGAAAGCTTCTCAGTAAAAACTCCCCTCTCTTAATTTAAAAGAGGAAATAAAAGACAAGAAGGTGGGACGAAACAGGAAGAAGACATAGAGAAGGCAGCTCGCAACGGCTTTGAGACTTGTCGTAGGGTTTAGAGTGACAGGTGGATCATGTGCTGAGCTGTGCTTTGTGGTTGGCGGATCAGTTGTGATGTCACCTGCTGGCTGCACTTCAAATAAGCCATGGATGCTGATAATCTCTCAGTTGTTCTCTCTGGAGATCCAATCACTGGTTACTCTGCAGCTCAGTCAACACGAAAAAGAACCAAGTCCAACTCTTCTCCGTCATGTACCTTGATACACATATTCCCATCTGATATTAAAACACAGAGTAAATGTTATAGCACAATAGGAAGGTTTTAGGGATACTTGTTGAGGCATAAGGTTCTTGTGGTTGATAGAGTAGCTAGGCAAATTGATGGAAGATTGGTTATGCATACTGCACATCATTCCCTTGCTCTTTCCCCCCAAATATCCTGTCTAATTCTGGACATATCAACAATTAATACATAAAAAAACAATGGTTTGTAGTCATAATAGTGGGTAGCAAAATACTCTTGGATCCCCAGAGAATGAATCCCAATGACTTTGATTAGATGATTTGAGTTTTGAGCAAAGTGTCCCGGCCATCAGGATGGATATCAGTAACTTTACCTCATCGCCACCACCAGATAAAAATGTCATTCAAAAAGACACAACAACCTAATTTAACCTTATAAAATTGAGAAACCGAGCAGGTGTGCTGGTCCTCTGTCAAGGATGGGAGCTCAAAGGTTTACACGGCAGAGATCAGGTCACTGAAACCAATCCTATTAGGCCAACACACACAGACACATGCTAACTGCACATAAACAGCTTGAAGTGAGCATCTGAAAAAAGATTACACTCAAAAATAATGATTTTTTTTTTTTTTAAATAAGAAGACTACATAAATATTCAATGATTTCTAAAGTACTAGTGAATGTCACCCACCACTCAACTTGCAATTTCTGGTTATGAAAGAATAACCTTTACAAAGGATAACAGGCTAGTTTAAATCTTGTGTGTGTGCGTGTTAATGTATAAACACTGCCACATTTTCCCACCCACTCACTGATTTTTGTTTTCTGTTGTTATGTTGGGCTCCACAGACTTCCTCTCAGTGCTGTTTATGTGGATGAGGCTGGGGGACGTAGCGAGACAACGCTAATCTCTCCAGTTAAATTAGCTGAACTACATCTGCCCTGCAAAGGATTAACCTGAAAAACACAGAGAGGTTAACCCTCTGTGTTTACACCAGGTGTTTCTCTCCAGCTCAGTGTACCTTCACATCACAAACCAAAATAAATCATTTGCGTTTTAGTGCTCAAAATGATCCTTATCTATTTTATACAGTTGGGTTTAGTGTATCCAGAATCCCTCGCCCTCCTTTTAAGCCAACTTCCTTCTAAATGCCTTTTCTTCATGAGCGGAAGCTTTGAGCAGCAGGTGGGTGGGGCTTCTGCATTCCCAGCATGAGGCTGAGGACCATATTAGAAATATGAGCTCTCTCTGACATCACAAGGAGCCAAGAGAAGAAAAAAAGTGATTAGAGTGAGTATTTAGAGCAGTCTGAAACCTGAGTGTGGTGGGGCGTGGTCTGCGGTGCCGTGCGGACGCACCTGCACGGCATCCGCAATCACGCCCGCCGTGTTAAAACACGGGGACTCAGGGGTTAGTGTTGTGTGGTGGTGAGATATTAAATAAAATGGCTCTGAACGATACTCCGTGGTCCCGCCGTGCCCACACTGAGCTTTTAGCTCACTTGCATATATAGTATTGGTAAATACCATTTTGTAATGTTTCTATAATGGTTATTAGAAATAATAACATATGCAAGCTTTGTAATCAAAATATATTTAATGCTAAAATATAAATATTGTTCTTATTTATGAATTTCAAATCTACTCTTTTCTCGTGATTGTTTTTTTTACTTATTTTATTAGTTTATTTTATGAAGATGCAAAATTGCAGACATTTACCTACATTCCTGAACAGAACTAAAGATGTGAGCCTTCTAAAACATACTTCAGTGGATAAGAATATGTATTTACAGCAATTGGCCTCAAGATGTCAGTGTAACCACTTTGTAAAACAGTTGCCTCAGCGCAGATCAAGGTGCTGATGAAGCTGTGGGGCATTTGTTAGCTGATAAGCAGTATGTGGAGTCAAGCCGACAGTAACAATAAAGCAAAATCAAGATTGTAAGCCTAAGGAGGTTTAGCTCCATGTCAAACTGAGCAAAGTGACAAGACGAAATTACAAAAGCAAACTCTTCAAATGTCATCAGATTCATCCAATAACAGATTAAATACATGAGCATTTGAGAGAAGTCTGCTAACAGGAGGGATTGCATCTGAAATTTGACACTCAATTATATCAAAACTCTGCTCAGTCAGCTGGTTAGGAGCTCATCTCCTGTTCTCACCAACAATTTCTGTGAACCTGTTGTGTGCTTCTATTAATGCAACAATGGTAATATTCCTACTTATAAAAGTAAAATTGTATATTCCTAAATTTGACTTATGCTGTTCTGAAATGGGTCATTTTGAAATGGGTAATTAAATCAAAATGACTAAAACAAACAAACAAACAAAAACAAAAAACCCAACAAGCCCTTTATCTCATTACCTGGTTTCTCTACAAGTGCACAGCCTTTGTGTATCAAGTCCTGTTTTATTGTATAAAACACTACATGCTTCACACTATACAAAACAAAAAAGCCTTTTCATTCAGCAATGCTGAACTCACCACAAATAGAAACTTACCAATTTACGATTAGAGCTGGCCTACTGGTATTATACAGCTAATATATATATTGTTTAGTATTAAGCTTTGCTTGTTCCATATTCAGTTTTTCAGCAAAACGTGTTTGAGTCCATAAGAAAAGATTCATTCTTATATCTGGAGGAAGATTTTTTTTTCCAATAAATATTAATGTTAGCCCACGACTTTGTTCCAGTTTTGAATTTTGGCCCACTTTGTATTTGAGTTTGACTCCCCTGACCTAAGACAACCTCAACTCTAAAGTTCTGTGCTGAAATCCCCAGGTTACACATCAGTAAGTTCCCACCATGAACACACACATTTATGCATCTTGTCAGTCAGATCTCAGCAGCAGATCAAGTAGAAGCGGATTGCTGCTTTCTGCCACTTCAAACACTGACCAGACAGAGGTTGCTAAGCAACTGTTGTGCAGTATTTTGCGATTCAGTTGTCTTTACACAACAAAGAGATGCTGTATAGCTGCTCCTGAATGTGACCTTATCACCGAGCCACCCACCATCAAGAACAGGACCTTCCAGCAAAAGATGGTATGAGACATCAGTTCAACATGTTTAGCACTTTTAGTTGCCTCAGACTAAACATGTTTAACATGTTTAAAATCAGACATTATCTTGGAAGATAATGCAATGATACTGCAGATTAAAGTCTAATTATGTAATACATACACTACATTAATAAAGGGCTTACTGGTTATGCACAAACATGTGGGAACAGTGCAAGCACTCTTTCTGGCAAACTTCAATATGAACAAATAAGTTAGGCCCCGCCCACCTCTAAGCTTGACGCTCATTTTGGTATTAGTGTGATGTTAGAAAATTACACTTTATTAACTACATCTTGCTCCTGTTACACTGCTGTTCTAGTCACAGAAATACAAAAATAAAAACCTTCAAAGTACTCAAAGTTTTCCTTACAGTAGGTGTCACCATGG